TTTATTTTTTCACTGTGGCTATTAGAAAAATATAAGGTACATCCTTGGTCAGATTTGCATTTCTGCTGGGCAAAGCTGCCTTCTAGAATTCTCTCTCTAACCAGGCTGGCCAGTCCATCTGTTCACACACCTTCTGGCAGGTCAAACTGACACGCATTATTTAGGCCTGGTTTAGCAGAATTTTTTACTAACAGCCCAGTTTACTGGCAGAAGTTTCCCGATTTTGCACAGTAAATATGGTCACCCTGGAAACAGGGTTGGGGTTAACTCCAATCATAGTTCACAGATAGTCAGTTCTGTGCTCCTTGTGGATTTCAGTGCAAATCCAATGGATCCTGGGTCCTGAATCTGGGGCTCACACTGACGAGGGCTGGCTGTGTACCAGGCACTGGAAGGGTGCTTTTACTCCAGAGGAACAGTTGATTGACAAGAATTACATAAGTTAGCTTAAAATGTTGAAGAATGTAGGAGAGAAATATTTTGTGTTACGTTGGTCAGCTGCCTCACCCAGTTCCATAAGAAGAATGTGACCCAAGGTGAGCCTGAGGTCCTAAATCCTAAATCCTCTGGGTCCTGCCTGTCACCTGGTGAATGTAACTGCAGTCAGTGAACAGGGACGCTGGTCACACGGGTGCCCAGTGGCTCCAGATCTGCCAGTGCACTGATGGAAAGCAGTGAATGAGGTGGACATTGAGGTTTCCACCTTAGGGGAAGGGTGAGCCTGCACTGCGTGTGCTCTCTGTTATTTCAGGAAGAGGGGTCTGTATCTCCATCTTCCAGGTGAGGGCACAGCACAGGACGGGGATTATCTTCAGATCATGCAGATTTCCAGTGGGAAGCCTGAGACCTGAGCCCCACCACTGGCCCGGCCACAGGGGTTGATGTCTGTTCAACACATTTTGTCTTTTCCAAACACTGAGCCTCTGACTAACTATCAAGGTAATTCTTAAAACATAAAAAATAAAAATAAAAACAAAGGAAAGCCAACTGTGGTGGCTCAAGCCTGTAATCCTAACTACTTGGGGGAGGGGGACAGACTTGGTTCAAGGTCAGCAGGGCAAAGAGCTCATGAGACCCCAATTTATCAATAAAAGCCGTGCATGGTCGTGTGCACCTGTCATCCCAGCCACATGGGAAGCGTAAATACAAGGATCACTGTCCATGCATAAAAAGAGACCTCATCTCAAAAATAGCCAAATCAAGAAGGGTTAGAGGCATGGCTCAAGTGGTAGAGCACCTGCCTAGCAAGCACGAGTCCTGAGTTCAAACCCCAGCACCACCAAACATATATGCCTCTCAGTAAATGTTAGCCATCATCGTTAATATTCCAAAATTTTTTTTTCTGTAGTTGTCTAAAAGACAACAGAACCTCCCAGAAAAATAGGCCTGAGCTACCCTTTAAGAGTCTGACCCTGCCAGGTGCCATGGCTCATGCCTGTGATCCTAGCTACTCAGGAGGCAGAGATTAGGAGGATCGTGGTTCAAAGCCAACCCAGGCAAATAGTTTGCAAGACTCAAAAAAACCCATCACAGAAAAGGGGCTGGTGGGGTGGTGGGGTGCCCTGAGTTCAAGCCCCAGTATTGCAAAAAAAAAAAAGTTTGACCTGAGCAAGAATGTGCGTGCTCAGTTTCTATTAAATGTCATATAGATCTTAATTTTGCAGTGATGAAACTCAGCTATAAAACACCTAGAAAAATCTCTGCACTCTTGCCTTCTTCCTAAGAGGAAAAACATCAGATTGCTGTGATAATGAAAAGCCAGTGCTGAGTAAGGCTCCAGAGTGTCCCTTAAATTGAAGTTTTCCAGGGGCAAGGTGTGTAAAAATAGAGAATCAGTCCAATCATCAAGTTTTAAAAAATCAAAAACATGGGTTTTTTGTATTTGATTCCACGGACTTTCTTTATAGGTTTCTCAAAGCAAACTCCAGTCACTTCCTTCCAGATTCCCCTCCATCATCATGCAAATATATATCCCCCAACTCCAGCGCTCAGGGGGCACCTGGTTTCTGGACCGGGCTGTGCGTCTCTCAGCTCAGCCTTTCTCTATCTATGAAGTTTCTTTCCTGCCTGTAACCCAGGTGCTCCAGCCTCTCATTCTTGAGAGTGTTCTGAGAACAAGAACCCTTTAGCGAGTCCGTGGATTCCCCCGTGACATCTTGTGCCTGTGACAGATTCAAGGCAGAGTCTTGGAGGAAAGGGAAATATTAAGGTTCTCTCTAAGACCTTAGGAGACCTTGGGCGATCTCCCCTCACGTCCAGGGAAATGCACTCACTTCCCCAAACGGCCCTCTTTCTAGGAGCCCTATCTCTCTGGAAGACCTTGTTCTCCACACCCAGTTAAATGGGCACCGTGCACTCAAGGCTTCTTTTGCCTCCCTCCTGTACTACTGCTGCTTGACAGGCCACCACCAACCAACAGGGGGCTTCATTTGACACCCACTTGCTGTCTCGTGGCTTCTATAGGCTAGAGTCCAGCTACAACTGGCAAACTCTCAGGTCTCACCTCACAAGGCTGAACTCTAGGTTGGGTGGGGCTTGGCTCCTGCCTGGAGGACAGGGTCCTTCATCAGGTTCACATGGCTGTTGACAGGATTAAGTTTCTTGTGGTCCTGGGCCCAAGGGCTCCTTCCTCCTGCTGGCCGTTGAGTGGGAGATGCTCTTGGCAGCTAGGGGCTGCCCGTAGTTCCTGTCTGTGGAACTGACCTTCCCAGTCCCTCTGAACACTTCTGACTTTGACCTCTAGACCTACACTTGAAAGTCAGTGAAGGAATACTAGCTAAAGCAGAACTAACTAGATTAGCATGGTTTTAAAGAGCACTTAGGATTCTATGTCATTTACATTACGTAAACTTACAGACGTGTTTAACGTACAAGGAAATGCTGTTCTTAATACAGATTCGAGTGTGTATGTGAAGTTAATCTTGCCAATCCTGCAGCCACCCAGCCATTAACGTCGCCTGAGTTTCTTGGTGGCGATCATCACAGCTCCAGACTTTCTTAAAAAGCATATTTGTTTTTAAACGAGCAGCTCCCGCCCTGTGCCAGATAAAGTCTAGTCTAAGACTATGAAGAAAACAAAACCAAATTATGGTGTCTAGCGTGTCTCGCACAGGATTTCAGAAATGCAGCGTCCCCCATGTGAAACCAGCCGAGAACTAATTTTTATAGACATCCTTTGTGTAAAACTTACATGAAAGTGGGGCATTCTAAACGAGCCTGATGTGGCAAGTTGTGTCTCACTGCTCGGGTGACAACCAGAGAGGACCTGAGCCTGAGGCAGGAAGCCCTGTGGCATCACCAGGACCACTGCACAAAGGCCACATGACACAGTGGTGGCTGGCCCTTCTTCCTCCTCTGTTCCACCCACACAGCCACTGATGAGGGACTGATGGCCACTCGGACGGCCACTGGAAAGCCATCGTGCTGTTGTGTGCTGGGAAATTAAGCCCTACGTTTACTAAACGGGCATTGTATTTTGACAGGTGATAAAACATTGCTTTGCCAGCACAGAGATGATATTCTCTGACCTAAAGCTTGGCCACAGCTGATGGGAGGAGACTGGGACAGGATGACAAGTAACATGCCTGTGTTTGGAGCATCAACAAATGACCAGTGAAAACACTTTGTATCCTGATATTATTTTGATTTCTAAGTGTTACTGCCAAAAGGAAAGACTTAGTACCAACCAGGACCTTCATAACAGAAACGATAAACCCCTGGATCCCACACTGCTATTTCAGACGCTTCCCAGGGTGACCAAGACAGACATGACAGTGGCACTGGACTTTGCCTGGCTTAGCAGCTCACCATTACCACCACTACCCACACACATTCCATAAGCTCATTTGTGCTGGCGTCTGTGACTCTATGACAAGCCAGTAGAGAAAAGAAGGACCCACAATTTTATGAACAGTAAGAAAAGCTATCTTAGGCTAAACACAATTTTAAAACTGAATTACTTGAGTTACTTTTAAGACTAACTCCTATTTCTGAATATAACACATGCTTTAATAGTGTGAATAGAAACTAATTTTTTCCCTTACTCTAGTGGTCCTGGGATTTGAACTCAGGGCCTCGTGCTTTGTAGGTAGGTGTTCTACTGCTTAAGTCACACCCCCAGCCCTAGAACCTAATTTTTAAATTTACTGACTAAACAAAGTTTAAGTCAGGTTTTGCTTACCACCGCCTAACACATGGCAGAGGAAGCACTGCCCTGTCCTTCTGGCAATAGCTGCTGTCATCTGGACTCTGATTCTGGGCTGGGTCTGGGGCTCTGGCCTGCACATTCTCAGCCCTGTCACAGCCCCTAGAGGCAGAAGCTGTCCTCAGCTTCACTGGTCCAGAAGAGAAAATGGTTCCTACAGACTGAGGCAGGTCAGCCAGGGTCCCAGGCAGACGAGGGTCCCAGAAGCAGGCAAACCTTTGAGGGCACACCCAGGGGGGCACCTTACACTGGGCAAAGCCTGAACACACTTCCTGGGTGCCCCGGTAGTAACCAGGGTGACCTACTGCATGCTGTACCAGCTGCACAGTCCTTATTTCATTTTCTGATTCATAGTCATGCTTCTGCATATACACAAGTACCCTGCTGGTTTGCACAATTGTCAGTGATGACATGAGACAATCTCTGAGAACCCAAGAATGTTCTGTGAATGGAAAGTTACACCTGAAAAGTGCCCACTTCAGACATCAGAACTGGAATGTCTAGTAAGGATGTGACTGAACCAGGCACTGTCTGGCCCAGTCTTGTTACTCAGTGGCAGTCAGAAAGGAGCTCACCTTCCGACCTCTGCAAATGCCTAAGGTGTCTCATAGCTGCACATTCAGGCAGCTGCCCAGGTGAGGACAGGAGAGACCTGGCTGCCTGCATAGCTGTTCTGCTTAGCTGGCAGCACTGACAGCTTAGCTTGCAAGGACCCGGGACTCACCCTTCATAAACACAGGCAGAAACTGTGCAGACAAGGAACAGGAAAGCAAACAGGGAAGGGAGTCTCCTTTACCTGAGGATCTGAAAACAGCAGTCCTGTCACTTCATGCTTCACCACAGCGGCATTCCCAGGAATGTTTCTGGCCAGCACGGGGACTTCCAAATCCATTGCCTGAGGAGAGAAAACAGGTGAGCAGTCATTTTTAAGAACTCAGTGACTAGAGGAGCTTGCTGGTGGGAAAATAACTTCTCACGTGAGCTGGACCTCTGGCACCTAACAGAATACAGGTCTTGCCAAAACGATATGAGAAGCACAACCCCACATTTCCCAACTACATCTGAATTTTTTACTGCCTCCTGCATTTTGGAGCCATGAGAAATGTCAGACTGCCATCACCTGTGTGACCTAATCACTGCAATGTCACACAGAAGCCTCTCTCCTCAAATGTCCCTCTGACACTCCGTCTCCCTATGTGGAGTGTTTGTTCTTAGTTACAGTCACTCCTTTCCCCGATGAACAATTTTCTTTCAGCACAGGCCCGGCAAAGCCGCCAGCACCCAGCAGGTTTCTCCTGCATGCAGACAAAAGTAAGGAGGACGGTGATATATGGCCCGATTATCCAGGAAGCAGCCCTCCCATTCCCGAAGCTGTGGGTCCATCAGCACATCACTTCCTGCAGCCTAGCACAGGCTGGCAGGGGGACCGTGAAAGGAGGATCCCAAAGCCCAGTATGCCAAGTTGGCCTCAGCTACCTGTGAGGCAGAATTTTCTGGCTCTCTGTGCAGGTTGAGGGAACCTGAGCTAGAAGGCTACAGAGTTGGACTCCCCCCTAAAGAAAAGCCTCCTGCATGGAATCTCCTGCTTGTACCTGGACAAGCCCAGCTCCTAAGCACGTGTATACCAACAGGCCAGGGGACTATCACCACAGCTGGCTACAGAGGCAGGGCCAACCTGCATGAGCAACAAGCCCACGACTTGTTTTTGATAAAATGGGAGTGTGTAACTTCACATCCTAAAAATCTGGCTCTACAGGGATTACTTCCACTTTCAGAAATGCAACACTACCTAATCTCAGTCACCCGGGGAGCTGTGGTGGGAGGGACCGGCTGTACCACCGACACTGCCCTCTGCCCACAGCAGAGCAAGACAAGTTGTAAGTGCACCATAAATGTATCTACAGCTCATGCCTGGAAGCTTCCACACTTCGCTAATAAGTTAGAGTGGTTCACAGTAAGGTTCTCCTGCTAGCAGAGGTCCGGGGGCCTCACTTGGTTCTCAGGATCTACCTTACCTGTACCTTTCCAGAGCACTTTGGTTTTGGGAACTGGATCCAGGTAACAGCTCATGATGAAGCAGGTGGGATGCTGGAGCTCTGTTCCTTCCTCTTGCCCCCAAGACCACTGGGTTCTCACTTCTTGAGTAAGCAGCCCAGCTGGATTCATGCAGGGACTTAAACCCACCCACCTTGCTCCTCAGCCCCACTGCACAGTGGCACCCGACACAGATTGGGGTCTTTCTCGGGTTCTGCACTATGCGTGTCACAACTACAGACAGTCTCTAGATAACGATGTCCACACTCGCTTTTTAGAAAAAGATTGGGGTCTTTAATTGTCATCACATTCAGGTACAAGACTGATGAAAATCAGCCCCATGGCCACATCTCAAGGGAGCATTACTGAGGAAAGAAGTATCAATATACATGGCAAGTGTAACAATTATTAGTGTGCATACAGCCAAGGATACATGAGGCACAGCTGGCAGCACTGACAGCAGAACCTGGTGACAGAGGTAGATTCTGATGCTCAGCTCTCAACAATTGACTGCACAAGTGGAGAGAAGGACAGCAGAGTGACAGAAGACATGACCAGCCCTGTCAGCCCACTAACTTAAGTGACACTTGGGGAACTCACCACCCCATGACTGCAGAAGACATGGTCTCCTCAAATATGGGCAGAATGAAAAACAGGTTTATCAAAAAATTAATTTGCAATAATTTTAAGCAGCTGGAACCAGGCACGATATGTTCTCTGGCCACATTTTGGGAACCAGAGTTACATCTCTGGGAAAAGGAAAATGCAGGTGTGGAATGAGGATTTGAATTAAAGCAATTGGTGTGAATGTATGGTGGGGGTGCATGAGTGTGCATGCGTGTTCGTGTGAGTCCTATTCTTACCCGTCAAAGAGGACTAGAAGCAGTGACTTCCCAGCCTCGACACAACACCTCTTGGTTTTCAATATCTTCCCTCCCTAAAAGAATCCAGGGCATGTTGAAGACATGGCCGATCCCAGAGCTGGGGGAGAGACAGGCCAGCACTTAAGATTCCTCAAAGTCGGAAATTCCAAGATGGCGGCTAGAGGGAGGAGGCAGAAAGCATGCCTCCTAAAGTAAAATCTTAGGGAGATGCTGGAGATACACCTTACAGGAAAAACCACAGAGAAGAGGCAAAACTTTGACTCCTCCACATCTCCAGCCTGCGCAGAGCATCTCCACTTCATGTTAAATGGAGAAGCCAGGAGGGTCCCTCAGCCATCGCCAGATGCCGGCACCCAGACGGCTTGGGAAGACGCGGACCACAAGGTGAGCTAAGCGCTATGCGCTACTCCCACAGACAACCCTGGGCCAGATCAGCATAGCCCCCTGGACAGACCGACCCCCACCCAGGGAAAAAAGAGAAACTGAATGATAAGCAATAACAACAAAAAAGACACGTAGCAAAGAGGATGGGGTGCCCTGAACACCAAAGAGGGGGGAGAGGAATCCCTCATGGAACTGTAAATAAACAAGCCGGGCCTGGCTGGGGAGGGCGGGAGCAGGGGCCTGCGCCCAGCAACCAGGAGCAGGAAAGCTTGTGGGAGTGGCAGAGGGAGGAAAACCCCACAGGAGAGGGGGGAAGACCCACTTCCCACGTGAGCTGTAAACAAACACGCAGGCCTGAGAAAGCGGGTGCAGTGTCACCTTTCCCAGTGCTTGGAAAGGGGAAAGCTTGTAGCAGAGGCTCGAACACAGGAGAACTCTGAGCAAACGAAGCCTGCGGGGCCAGGTGAGTGCTAAGCTCACCCCAGAGATCTGCATAGATAAAGCCGCCAGCAACAGCAGGCTGACAGCAGCGGGCAGGTGAACCACAGCCACAGATACCATTCTCAGAACTGTCTCCAGACACTTTTTTTTCTCTCTCCCTACCCTTGATGAGAAAACAACCGAACTACACCTGCATGCTGAAAAACTTACTGAAACTCTACTGCATTTGAACTTGGGACACTTTGTGGGTTGTTTGTTTTGTTTTGTGTGGTTTTGTTTTATTTTGTTTTTTCTAGTTTTTTTCCCCTTTGATGAGACAACCACAGAACTACTTCTGAGGCACCATCTCCAGGACTGGAGGCTGAGGGACGAACACTGAAATTATTAAGACTGAAACTACATTGCATTTGAACTTAGAGATTTTTTTAATATATTTTTTCATTTATTTATTTTTAATTTTAATTTTTATTTATTTATTTTTTATTTTCAATCCTCTCTCTGTCTCTCTAATGCCTCTTCAGCTTACAGTTGATTAGTACACTATCTCTCCCTGTTTATATCTTTGAAACTTTTTTGCTTGTTTCTTTGTTTTGTTTTTTTCTACTTGTTTGTTTTTCCCTTTTCCTTTAACTTCTTTGCTTTCCATCTCCTCTCACCCTTCCATTCTAAATATCACCATTGTTATTATTACAAGATAGAAAATACTTAATTGCACACAGTACAGGGACAGTAACAACACCAAGGACAATGACGGGAAGACAGAAAAAACAGGGAAACCAGTCTCCCCACAGCAAAATTTAGTACAGGAACCAGAGGGAAATGAAGGAAACAGGTACTCAGATCCAGACTCCAACAAAATGAAGATAAACTATGCCAAAGAACCCAATGAAGCCCACAAGAATAATCTAAAAGAAGACATACTACAGGTACTCAATGAGAATTTTATAGAGATGATACTGGATGTGGTCAACCAAAATGTACAGGAGACACTCAAGAAATTCCAAGACAACAAAAATAGAGAATTTGAAAAAGCAAAAGAAGACATAAAGGAAACCATAGAAGCACTGTACAAACACCAAAGTGAAACAAAGAACACGATTAATAAAGACATAAATGAACTCAGGACAAAAATAGACAACATTAAAGAGGAAACCACCCAGGATATCGAAAACCTCAGAAAAAAGAATGAAATAGAACTGCAAAACAAAATGGAAGGCCAATCCAGCAGAATAGAACAAACAGAAGACAGAATCTCAGAACTCGAAGATGAAATGGTAATTAAAGGAAAAACCGAAGAACTATTAAACCACTCAAGACCTATGAAAAGAAAATGCAAGAACTCACCAACTCCATCAAAAGAACAAACTTGAGAAGCATGGGCATTGAAGGAGAAGAGGTGCAAGTGAAGGGAATGCATAATATATTCAACAAAATAATAACGGAAAATTTCCCAAATCTAGAAAAAGCTATTCCCATACAGATGCAAGAGGCCTCCAGAACACCAAACAGACCAGATCAAAATAGAACTACCCCATGACATATCATCATTAAAACAACAAGTTCAGAAACTAAGGAAAGAATATTGAAGGCTGTAAGAGAGAAAAAACAAATAACATACAAAGGTAAACCCATCAAAATCACAGCAGACTTCTCAAAAGAAACATTAAAAGCAAGAAGAGCGTGGGGTGAGATCTTCCAGGCACTGAATGAAAATAACTTCAAATCTAGGATACTCTACCCAGCAAAGCTATCATTCAAAATAGATGGAGCAATAAAAGTCTTCCATGATAAGCAGAAACTAAAACAATATGTGACCACAAAGCCACCACTACAAAAGATTCTTCAAGGGATTCTGCACACAAAAAAGTGAAACCCAACATAACCATGAAAGGACAGGCAGCAACAAACCACAGGAAAAGAAAAAGCAAGACAGTAGAGAGTAACCTCCACTTAGGTACACACAATCAAACCTTCAAACAACAAAGACAACTAAATGACAGGAATCACCACAAACCTATCAGTACTAATGCTTAATGTTAATGGACTTAATTCACCCATCAAAAGGCACCGCTTGATGAAATGGATTAAAAAGGAAGATCCAACAATTTGTTGCTTACAGGAGACCCATCTCACTGACAGAAATAAGCATAGG